ATGATGCGGTGTGGTTGTAGCGCGAAATGGGAGCACGTGGGAGCGGAGAATGCGCGAGTGGAAAGAAGAGAGGGGCGGATGGCAAGGGGCGCGGGACGAACTCGAGAGCGGGGAATGCACCTCCACCATCCTCCCCTCCTCCAGGGGGGTCTGCGGTCCTTCCGCGCGCGCGCGCGTCCCGCGCAGGCGGCTTGGATGGCTCTGTAGCCTTACGTAGATTTGCGGGGGCACTGGTTGTATTGCCTCCCCTGTCGTTCCCTGTTCGGTCATGGGCCCCTTGTTGACCGCAGCCATCCAGTTTTCGCGCCGGCGGCCGCCAGAAAGCGCCGACGACCCTCAGACGACCGCTGAAGACCGCCCAAGGCCAATTGGCAACAGGGGGTCCATGGTCGAATACGGGGGACGTCAGCTGCACAACTCCCCGATCGGGGCCGGGCCCGCCCTGGGCCCAGGATCGGTGTCCTGGGCCTCCCTGGCCAAGCCAGGGGGGCATATGCACAGATCCTGGGCTCAGGGTGGGCCTGGCCAGGAGGAGGAGGAGGAGGAGGAGGAGGAGAGGAAGGAAGGAGGAGGAGGAGGAGGAGGAAGGAGAGGGGTGAGGGGGAGTAGTAGGAGGTAGAGGAGACGGAGGAGGAGGATGTTGAGGGTAGGGAGGAGGATGATGATGATGATGGAGGAGGAGGAGGAGGAGGGAGGATGAGGAGGAGGAGGGAGGAGGAGGAGGGGGGCGTATGCACAGATCCTGGGCTCAGGGTGGGCCTGGCCAGGATCGGGGAGGTGGCCGGCTGACGTCGCCCAGCGTCCTGGGCCGTGCCCACTCCTCCGCTCCTGCGCTGCCCAGGGCCCGCTCTTCCGCTCCAGCCTGGGCTGCCCCGGCGGCCCAGTTTGCCGCGGCCGTGCGAGCTCGTTGGCTGCGCTTCCTCCTCCTTCTCCTCCTCCTCCTCCTCCTCCTCACTCTCCTCCTCCTCCTCCTCTTCCTCCTCCTCCTCCTCTCCTCCTCCTCCTCCTCCTCCTCCCCCTCCCCCAGCCCCATGGCCCCTCTCGCACCCCCGTCTTTTGCGGCACCCCCCGCCCGCCGAGGTAGGCCCCGTAAGCGCTTGTGCTCTGCGGGCCTGGACGGAGCCCCTGTCCGAACTGGTGCGCTCTCCCGCCCCCACCCCCTCCGCTTCGTCGCCCTCGTCAACCTCCTCGCCCTCCCCTCCTCCGCCCCCGCGCCTCCTCCGCCGACAGCGGGCGCGTTCCAGAGAGGGGGCCCCGCCCGCCGCGCGGCCCCGCCCTCGGCGGAGGCCCGGCGGCAGGCGGCAGGCCCACTGGCGGCAGCCGCCCACGGAGCTCCTGGCCTACAGTTTCCTCGCGACAAAGGTGGCCGAGGAATCGGCGGAGGCCCGGCGGCAGGCGGCAGGCCCACTGGCGGCAGCCGCCCACGGAGCTCCTGGCCTACAGTTTCCTCGCGACAAAGGTGGCCGAGGAATCGGGCGGCGTCGACACAGCGTGTCAATACGATCTGCTGGCGCGGAAGGACATGGCCCACGCGTTCGAGACCGGCGAGGACGGCGCCGGAAGCGAGGGAGCGGCGCCCACATGTGTGGACTCAGGTCTTTAATGTGCTGGCCATGCGAGCAGCCCCTCCTCGTCGCACGGCCAGGCGTGTCGAGGGGGCGGCCGGGGCGTCTCGCTCGAGGCGCCCGCAAGCTCTGCGGACCCACTGCTTGTCGTTCCCCACGTCTGCAGGGATGGGGGGGGCAAGCCATACTTGTCGGAGTGTGGTTCTCTGTTGAGAGTGCAGCGATCGTTCTCTGTCGAGAGCGCAGCAATGTTATGCTGGCTTTTTGCAGCGTGAGTGGTGCTCATTTTGAGTGCAGCAATCGTCTGGACAGACCTTTTGTGAGCGCTGCGGCCATGCAGCTTGAATGTTCCATCCGCCCAGCGGATGGAGGGCGGGTGGTCTTCATACTATGGTTTTGAGTAAGGGGTCGCTCGAGCGATATACCCTACAGGTTAGGTTGTACGCTTCCAAAATCTGGACCGGTGGAAGGGGCTGCCTTGAAAACGTGAGTTTTAGCTTGAAGCTTGCAAAATACGGGCAGCAGACAACGACGAACACGCCAGAGAGCTCATTACGCGTTCGTTGGCGGTTCCTGTTCGAACCTGCCTTCTCGATTGCAAATCTCCTGAATGTTAGATTCTGTGGGTCAGATGTCTTGCAGCTTATGTTGTTTTGTTTGTCTGCCAGGCAGGTTTGATCGGCCTCTGCCAAAGACCGTGAGGGTGGATGGTAGGATGATGGAGCAGTGGCGGACGCTTTGCCGTCACCTCCTGGTCATCCTCACCTGGTCTTGCTTCCTATAAGCCTGTACTCGAGGCTCTGCCCCGTGCCATCATCACAGGATGCGTGCGCGTCTCGTTATTGACCCGTCTTGCGCCCCAAGGCGTTGTCCAGACGGTCATGGCGCCTGCAGCGCTCGCCCTGGCACGCCCTCACGATGTCCAGTACACCGCGTGGACGAGGATACGACTCGTGATAACCCGCTGCCAGAAATCGGTGGCAGCGAGCTTCGGCATCCACCATCACGTGATACGCTGGAGCATCTGATCATCTTATCACGACGAGGAGGCCGCTGCGGCGAGTGAAGGGGGGCCCTTCCCTGATGCGCCCGAAGGTTTAGGATATTCCAACCTACTTTAGCCTTGATCACCAGAAAGACTTTCGAGCGCCAGAGCCACATACCGAAATTCGAGGTTTTTCTGTGATTCGGGCCCTGGAAAACACTCGTCTGACACTCCTTCGGTTCTTTTCCGGGTGCTCGAAGGCATTTTTGTGGTGTAGTCCTGAAGTACGATGGGAGCAACATAACCGACTTGGTATCGCTCGGACGTGTGCATTTTTTCTCGGCGGAGATTACTAAGGAGCATCCTGGAGCATCCTGCGAAAAAACCACGCACGAAACCGAACAAAAACACAGGGAATGGACGTCCGAGCGATGGCGAGCCGACGGCACCTACCTGCCAAGACCGCACCCCTGCGGCCCCCGCAGCCACCCGCAGAGGCGCTCCTCCTGGGCAGCCCGACGGGCCGACCGAAGGTGCCCGCCAGGGCGCTTCCCCGCGGCGCCCGAGGCTGCCTGCCAGGGCGCCACTCTGGGCGGTCCAGCGGAGCGCCAAGTCGCGCCCCTGCGGCGCCCGAGGCTGCCTGCCGGGAGGTCTTCCTGGCCCCGAGATCTTGGCGCTGCAGTCTTATCGCGCTGGGCGCTCCCGCCCAGCTTCGGGCTCCGGGACATGCGCCGGCTGATCCGGCTCGCAGAATGGCGCAGGGAGGTGGGAGCCGGGGCTCGGGGCGCCACTGTTCGCGCTGCTGCAGGTTTTAGTGCAGCGTCTGCTCCCCCAGCTCTGCGTAAGTCAAGCTTCGCGCGGCCCGCTGAGCTTCGACCGGAAGAGGTGCGCTCCCCAGAGATCCGATGTCGTGATTTTTTCAGGACGGGGTCCCCAGAAGTCTCGACCCATTCCCCAGGACCGGTTTTTCATCCTGAGTCGTTTTTTGACAGTCCCGGGGCCCGGCGAGGGCCGCCAGAGGCCGAAAATTTAGAAAAACCTCCGTCTTGATTTTTTCAATACGTTGGATCTCTGGGGCAGAGCAGCCCACGACCCGCTGGCAGCCGGCCGCGGCGGGGGGGGGGCGGGGCGCCCGGGGGCCCGAGGAGAGGCCGGCGTCCGTGTGCGCTCCACGACCGGAGAGCTGGGCAGGAAGCGCGTGCGCGCCGTGGGGCCGCCGGCCCGGCCACACTGCACGCGGGGTATCCCCGGCCGCGGGGGCGGCGTGGCGTCGGGGCCAGTCCCTCTGCAGGAGGCAAGGCATCTTCAAAAAGTAGTTTTATAGATCGTCGCTGGGCGATTTTTTTGTATTATTTCTGAGCATGTGAGAGTGTTTTTGGGGTAGGAAGGCAGCCCTGACCTAAGGGTAATTAGCGTGTGCCGAAGAAGCCCGTCCTGGCAGGGGGGCGGCGTGACGTCGGGGCCGGCCCCTCTGCAGGAGGCAAATTTCAAAAGCAGTTTTGTACATCGTCGTTGGCCGAAGTTCGCATGGTTTTTGAGCCGACGAGGGGTTCGGGGCCGAAGTTCGTCGTGGGCCGTCGTCGGCCGAAAGGGGTTCAGGGGCACGGTGTGCGCGGTATGGTGCAACAGAGAGGTTGCATTCGAGGCGCGTCCACTTCCTCGTCTGTGGTGTCATCTTGCTCTGGGAAACGAAGACAGAACGAATCTCGTGCGCTGAGGGGGAAGAAAACAAATTGGGGGCGGGAAGCCAGTCCTGACCTAAGGGCAATTGGAGCGTGCACCGAAGGAGCCCGTCCCGGCAGGGGGGGCAACGTGCACGGGAGGGGCCCTCGCGGGGGGATCCGCCTCGCAGGGGCAGCCTGCCTTTCGGAGGTCGGCGCTGCGGGCCGTCTTTCCGACGCCAGCCGTAGGTCAGGGCGCTTGCACGGCGAGGGCAGCCTTGCACCCGGGCGCACCTGCACGTCCAATTCTGCCAGTACACCTTATGCGATGCTTAAGAAAACCTAAGTTTTGGGCCAGAGTCTCGATTATTCTTAACTTTTCAATGTAAATCCCAAGATTTTGATAGAAGTTCTGGGTTTTATACAATTTCTGAGACTATGAATTTCTTAAACCATGATTTCTTAAGCATTTCGCAGGGTGTAGAGCCAGACGGTCACTGACAGCCGCTGCCGTGACTGCTGCGCTTGCCCAGCGGTGCAGTGCATCCGAAGGGAGGACGATGGCTACCGCCATGGGACTTGGCCGCTGGTCTGGCAGAGCAGCCAACGGTTCGCAACCGAAGATGTCATCAGGCACCCACCCGCTCTTGCCTTTCCTTCGCGCAGGTATCACGTATTACCTTTTTTGACTGCCGCTGATTCTCAGTGATCTGGTCCCCCTGGTCCTTCGTGAAGGCCTTGCTGCTGTCTGCCGCTGTGCTCCGCCAGCTGCCGGAGCCGGTGCGGTGGTCGACGTGCTCCAGTCTCTGCCTCCGTTTGCCGGCGCCCGCCTGCTTGGCCATGTGGGGGAACTCGAGCGTCCTCTTGACTGCCATCCTGGGACACTGGGCCCTACAGTCGGGGCCCTGAAGAAGGAACCCTCTTCGTTGGGGAGGGGCTCCGCGTTCCTTAAGTGTTTCACAGTTTGCCTCAGGCTTTCGGAGCTCGCATCTCCAGTGTCCCTGTGCGCCGAGGCGCTCGTGGAGCCGCGGAGAGCTTGAGGACAAAACGTAACGCTTGGGCAGTGCGTTACATCGGTCCGCGGCAGGCAGCTCGGGGCGCGCGGGACCCTTACATCGGAAATCGAAGTCTAACTTCTAAGGATCGGATCGGAAATCGAAGTTTAACTTCTGGAAGAAAGGGGCCTCGTTCCTTAGTTAGGGTTCCTCAGGTCAGCGCCCCGACTGTAGGCCGCCCCCGGGGGCGCGAGGCTGGCCGCGATCCGCGCGCTGCGAGCGGTCCCCCCTTCTTCAGGGGGGCGGCGCGAGGGCGCGAAGAGCACCGCGCCGCCCGCCTCGCGCGGCGCGATTTTACGCGACGGCAGGTGCAATAGGGGCTGGTGGCAGTGTCAGTCTGATCTCTGTCATGGCTTGATCCTTCCACGTCATACCCTGAACCTTTCTTTCCGCCAGCGCAGCCTACTCCTCGTACTTCGCTCCGCCTCGCCATCCGCCTCGCCCCTCGCTCCCCACTCGGCCCTCGCCTCTCGGTACCACCTCCTCCTCCTCTTCCAGCTCCACGTCACGCTCTTTCTCGTGTGCCTGCTCCTCCTCCTCCTCCTCCTCTTCCTTCGCCTGCTGACCTCCGCTACTCGCTTCTCAATCCTCGCTGTGCGCTCATTGCTCCTCACACCTTACCCCCCAACGGCTCCTCATCCCGCTCATGTTGTTCCTCGTGCCCCCTCTCTTCATGTTCCTCTTGTGCCTCCTGCTCATGCTCTTACCTCCTCCTCCACCTCCTCCTCTTTCTCCTCCTCCTCCTCCTCCTCCTCCTCCTTCTCCTCCTCCTCCTCCTCCTCCTCCTCCTCCTCCTCCTCCTCCTCCTAGGTGGCTCCGCAGCGGGCCGCGACGCCGCAGCATTTTGCCCCGCGGCCGCCGCGGCCCGTGCCATTGCAGAGCCCCCAGCGCCGACGGCGCGCAGCCCGAGCAGACCCACGAGGTCACGCTCCCCTGCCTGGCACAGGCGCCTCCGCAGGCGCAGGAGCCAGGCACGTCAGGATCTCCAGCTGGTGAACGCCCGCCTCCTCCTGAACCTCCACCACGGCAGCATGGCACCGACACAGTGGACGACGTGCAAGCAGTGCAAGATGTGGTGGTGGATATCGCAGATGGAGTCGCGCGACTACTGGTGCTCCTGCGGCTGCCGAGTTGCTAGGCCCAAAGGAGATATGACGAGGGGCGACGGCAACGCTGGCAAGGGCAAGGGCAAGGGCAAGGATAAGGACAAAGACAAGCAGTACCGTACTGACGGTGCCACGGGCTCCAACCAAAAGGGCTTCGCGCAGATAGCCACGGCCTTGCAGACGATGACGAGCTCCCTGGCCACCCTCCAGTGCGACAACAAAAACGGCATCGCCAAGCAGCTTACGAGTGTGGCCACGGCACTCCAAGCAGCGGCGAGTTCCCCAGCACAGGTTCCCAAGTCCCGAGCACTACGGTTGGCAGAAGCAGCAAGGAAACTCGAGGACGCGAACAAAAAGTACAAATGGGCGTTCGATGCAAAGCAGTCGGCGGACGAGAAGGCGAAGAAGGCAACAGAGTGGCTCACGGCCAGTGCCGACGACGTCCTGAACGCGGAGAAGGAAATAGAGATGATCCAGCAGGAGGGCAAGGAGAATCCGAAGAGCATCTTCGACCAGCTGCTGAACGCAGACACGGAGATGATCCAGCCATCGGAGATCGAGATCGCCGAGGTCGAGGCTCACTTCCAGTACGACGAGGACATGGATGAAGAAGGAAAGCGGCAAGTGGAATTAGCGAAGAAGCAAGTCCTGGAGCATCTACGGCAGACGGCATCAACCTTCAGGGGCCAGCTGAAAGACCACTTGCAGCAGGCGAAAGACAAAGCACAGCAGGAGCGCGCCACGTTCACCCAGGCCTACAAGAAGCGGAAGGCGGGCTCAGGTGAAACATCGAAGGAGACGCAGGCAGCCCCAGCAGCGGCCCCAGCACCAGCAGCAGCACCCACACCTGCAGGCGAGCCCGACGACATCCTCGTCGACGGAGCAGACGCCTTCCTGGAGCAGCGCAGGAAGGCGGAGGAGGCAGCTGGCGGCAGCGGAGGGGCAAGCGCTGGCTCAGGCCAGCACTAGGGACCACCGCGGAGGGGCAGGCGACCCGTTGGCGACGCCGAGCCCCTGGACCGCACGATCTGTTTCGCCAACATATCAACGTGGGGACCTACGGCCAAGAGTTGGATCCGACGCGACGGGCTTCAGCAATCCTATGATGCTTATGCGCTACAGGAAACACACTTGGCACAGGCACAACTCAATGACGTGGAATACGAGCTGCAGAAATCTGGGTTCTCAGCAGTTTTCACGGAAGCCAGGCAGAGCGAGAAGAGCCTGAAGGGGCCCCACGGTGGCACAGCTGTCATCACCAAGGGCCGCCTGAAGGCTACCTCTTTACGCCACAAGGCACGGGCAGACACGACCTCGAGTGTGACTACTCTCCAAGGGCCGTGCGACATGGATATGATCGACTGGACGCCAGTCACGCTCCACTTGAAGGGCACACCGCTGCTCATCATCTCCCTCTATTTGGACCCGAACGCCTCCCTCGTCGACGGGGTAAACGCCAGGAAGTTGACCTCGCTCGCGGCATTCCTACATACTACCTCCGTGCCGTGGATCATCTGCGGCGACTTTAATTGCGAGTTCGACGCACTCGAGAAGACAGGGTGGCCGACGGCACTGGGCGCGACGGGTGTGGTCCAATTGCCAGAGGGCCAGAACACGTCCTTCTTAGGTGACGCGACCCCCTCGAACATAGGCTACGCCCTGGTCAACCCTGGTGGCCAGAGACTTGTTCGAGGTATACACGCTGTTCACGATGTACCTGGGAAACCACATGTGGGGCTGGTGATTACAATACAGGCAGCGGCGCAGGTGAACGAATGCAGAAGATTATGTATGCCGAAAGCATCTCCCCACCCCAAGTTGCCAAAGAAGGCCAACCCCAACAGCAAAGCAGCAAAGAAGAAGAAGAAGAAGAAAGCAGCGCTACCAGTCCTGGACGAATCTGACAACCTCTCCGATGACGAGGCCGCCGAGACCGACACGGCGAGATGGGAAGCCCTTGGACCAGACGGTTGTAAGAGAAAACAGACTGGGGCGATCGCTGACGTCGAGACCAGCGGACCCGTCCCAAGACGAGTCGTCACACAAATGGACAGCGAGGACATAGACCCCTTCGTCGACCTGGATGCGAACCTTCCCAACGCGGACAGCAACATACTCATGCCCGAAGATGGCGAAGGGGCCTGGGACACACCAGAGGCGAAGGATACTACTCAAAAGGCGGAGAGCACGGATGAGACCATGCACGACCCAAATGCAGCCACGACCAACTCGTCGGACCTGTCGAAGGAAACCCACAGGACCTCCTCACAGACGATGCAGCAGCGGATCGCGGACAAAGCAGCAGGGGAGAACACCGCAATCATGGGCGATGCTTGGGAGGTGGCAGCGCAACTGCAAGCCTTGGAGTCGACTGACACAGCCCCCGAGTACATAAAGCAGAGTGCAGCATACAAGACCGACCTGAACGGTGCCGAACGACTAGGGCGGCAACACCACCAGTTCATCGGCACGCTGGAGAAATTCTATTGCATGGCTTACAAAGTGGATTGGGCAGGCAGAGCAGTATTTTGCGGGCGTGGACACCCATGCGATTACAAGACAGTGCCGCTGACTGGTGGAACAGACTGGTGGAACAGGGCCGACATAGTGCAGAGCACCCTGGTCAAACTACAAGAACGCGGACGAGGCCTTCAACAGCAGGAAGCACTCGCCAGCGCAGGACGACGCCTCGTTCGGGAAGGACTGCCACCAGTTGAGAAGGGGGCCTCGCACACTGACATGCACCACCAGCAGATACGGGCAGATAGGGTGGCAGCGCTGGAACCGATACCACACAAGCAAGACATGCGGGACAGCAGCAAGCAGTACAGTCTATGGCTGGCGCAAGCAGAGAAGACCATCGGAGTACTGCATCGGATCAATAAGCCGCCACCCCGATATGAGCATGATATACATACTGAATACGGCACCATATGCAGCCCGAAGGATATGATCGACCAGAATGTTGTTGATTTTCAAAAGTTATGGGAACGCGAAGATGCACCACATACATCACACGAAGGTTATTTGAATGAACTCAGACGAGATGCGCGAGAAGAAGATGAACACGACCCCTGGACCATCGAGGACCTGATCAGGTGCTCGAAAGGCGAACCCGACAAGGGAAAGGGAGTGGACATGATTTGCACGACGGACCTGAAAAGACTACCCACCGCAGGGAAGCAGACCCTGATCAGCCTCCTCAACCAATGTGAGCGGGACCTTACCTGGCCGTGGCAGTTGTTACCCTCAGCAAACTGGCTCAAGAAGGCAGCGGAGGAGAAGACAGAGGAGACTGTGGATGATCGAGATACAGATATCGAGCATGCCCAACTGGCCCGCTCCTCGGGGTTGGGCACAAGTGCGACGCAGAGTACCAGTCCAGCATCGCAGACGCACAAACGTCGCCACGATGCTGGATCTGCCCCAGGTGGCACGCACTGCTCGCCCGCAGCCGAAAGGCCGTCGAGGGTTGAGGGTACCGGCCATCTGGGGTGTCAGAACGCGGCTTCGCAGATGCCCACCCGTCGCCATGCCGCTGGATCTGCCCCAGGTGGCACGCACTGCTCGCCCACAGCCCAAAGGCCATCGAGGGTAGAGGGTATCGACAACCTGGGGAGCCAGAACGCAAAGACCAGTCACAGTTCACGAGCGGCAGCGGAGACAATAACCAGAAGAAGGAGAAGCCGCACTCAATTCCCCGACACGAGAGCGCCCCTGCAGCAGGGCATCATGATGCAAATACGAGGTACCCGCGCCATCGAGGAGGATGAAGCGCCGCTCCTCCGAGCAGATGAAGACCCGCGGCCTGATTACCCTCCAGAACCTGAAGTTGGAGCAAACAGAGGAGTATCACCCGCGGGCACCCACACATCAGGGAAGACCTTTGCAGAGAGCTCGGGCGCTACGACGCGAACCCGTTCGGCTAGCCCGACGACGAGAGCAGGCCCGACCCCGAGGGCCCACGCGCCGACACGCGCGGGCCCGCCCCCTCCAGTGGAAGCAGAAGCACGACCAGAAGGTGAACCACGGCTCCGCGCGCCTCCGCAAGACGCGCGCGGAGTAAGGGCGGCCTCAGGGCGCGGCCCTGGACAAGGTACGAATGCCCAACTGGCCCGCTCCTCGGGGTTGGGCACATGTGCGACTCAGAGTACCAGTCCTACGGCCAGACGCAGAACACGAGTGGCGGCAGCGAGTACAACCAGCAGAAGGAGACGCAGACCTCAGCTCCCCGACACGTACACCCTCCTGCAGCAGGTCAAAAAGAAGCAGTTACGAAGAACTCACGCCATCGAGGAGGACGTGGCACCAC